TCAGTGACCAAGTAAGAAATATATACATGAAGATTTTAAAGAGGTGGTGACGGCGGCGGCTTCTGCTGTCACCCGTTGTGGTCATACTGGTGGTCGACTTCCGTTGTTATCGTTCTTACGGTTATATTGACAACTGTTGGCAACCTTACCTGGTACTGTTACTTTTTCTCGTCTGTGTATAAGTCGGTTTCTGAGGGCATTAGTGTCTCAACGCTACAAATTGTTGAAAGTTGATTGTTGTGTTGGACAATTGTCGGGTCCTGAGGGCTGGTGATGGTCAGTGCACGACTGTAATCATGTCGGGAATTGCTGTACTGTCGCTATCAAGATATTACAGGACTTAGACCTGTTTTGTTAAGTTTCATACATTGTTGTTATTCCCGCCAACACCTTCACACCAACATGTGGCTTGGTATTGTAGTACAGTACTCAGGTACTCAGTAACACTGAGGCTCTCATAACAAGTTTTCCCAGTAGTATATCCTTAACCGGAGTAACGGTGAAAAAGACTTGTGGCACATAACCAGTCTTGATGTGGGATCGTTACTATCCTTCCTTCAGAGTGGAGCACCTTGTGTAGTGATAATTATGCTGAGTTGGAGTGCCGATGCTTGTCGACTGCTCAGCGAAATGAAAATTAAAAATCTGTTTATTCTTGACCCCATTTAATGATATGATTTTTTTAAAGTGGGGGAAATACATTTGTTGCACAACTTCATTCGGGAAAAAAGTAAAAATTATGAACTGGAAATGATATGTGCGCGTACCCAAGAATGTTTCCCGGGTTCCAGGACATTTTCGCTCAGTATTACAGTACATGCTTTTGATTTTCTTTCATACCTGTTTACATAATCTGGGGCATAACAACTCTGGCATCTTGCTATAAGTCGTTGCAAGCTTTAAATATCCTTTCGATCAGAACATGACAGGCATGTGTTTCTTGTCACTCGGTGTCTCAACGAACACAAAAAAAGAGTGGTGGTGCGTGCCGTCCTGTGTTGGGGGTCAGGTATTTCAAGACGTTATATTTCTTGATGTTCAGTTTTGAATTTCACTGTACAGTTACTTGTTCTCGGAATCCTGTTATTATTTTGTGCTTCATGATACCGTGGTTCTCTTTGTCTGCTTTAGCAAATGCAAGTAGCGTTAAGATTCTCCCACTAACAAGGACAGCTTCAACAACTACTGCTGTAGTACTGTAACAATCACCATAGAAGCTGACAACAGTGTCGTCAGCCTAATCCCACACTAATACACTGACTGATAACCAAATTAGCTACGTTAATAATAATAATAATAAAGATAAATAATATGTTTCTCATCACTCCGCACCGGTGTCCCCCAGTGTTCGTTAACCTTGTGCATTTAACCAATTTCCTAATTATTTGTCCTCTCCAAATATTACCAAGCTTGTGCGGGTGTCATGCTGACAATTGTAAGACCTGTGCAACTGATGAGTCAAAGTGATTGTATTTTATGACGTTGAGAAGAGAAAAAAGAAACCGGTGTGAGTTTTATCTGTTCATCCATCGTCAGTTAAACTATTGGCCGTACACTGACTGTTGACTTACGGCAGTCATGCGAGTCATACAATTACAGGGATTTACAGTAGCCGGGCCTCAGGCTTCTTCACTAATCGTAAATTGTTTTGGGCTGTCCTTCACTACCGTATGGCTTTTATTGCTTCCTGTTTCTGGTTTCTCTCTCTCACTTACAGTGCTTCAGTTCCTCCATTCCCTTCACTTTCCTCTGCCCTCTCAGTACAATTATATTCTCATTATTATCCCATAAGCTTTATTAATTATCAGTGGTGTTATTATTATGGTGCATAATTTCTTCAAAGGTTCAGGCCATCACTTAAGATACAGTATTTATAATAATTTCGGTGGTCCAGTATCGTGAACACAAAGAATCAGGACCCGGATTCATGGGCAAAATGAATTGGGTAGTTCATCATAACACCCGCAACCGATTTATTTTCATATCTTGTTCCGGTTTTATTCTTACTATATTACAACAGTAGGTTTATAGGTCCAGGAGAACAGTCTTAAACAGAGAATACACGTTTAATTCCGTAGAAAAAAGATAAGTCATATTCTATACGAGTTGCATTTGTTGGCGGCCTGACTTGTTTTTATGTTGGTAGCGAGTCTGGCAGTGTTACCAGTTACCAGTCAGGAATAATGCCGGTGTGTAAACGAACATACACTGGTAATCAGGATATATTTTTATAATAGAATAACATTGAATAAATAAATGTATATAATGTTTTTCAAAGTTCGTGGGTGAAACGTCTTTAATAGGTGTGTAATTGTATAACAATTAACGTCCTACCTGTGTGATTGTGATTGTTGCCGAAAACTCCATAATACAATTTGTCAATGTCAGCAACTTCTGAAATGAGAAAAAGTAAATTTTAATATCATTGGCTTATAATATATATATATATATATATATATATATATATATATATATATATATATATATATATATATATATATATATATATATATATATATATATATATATATTTGAATGCTGACGTAATCTGTATAGGCTGAATTGCTCTCGAGATCACCAAGCCAACCTAAACGACGGCTTGGGCAAAAAAAAAGTGATCACATTGTTCATTGATGTCTAGGTGTCACCCATCATCAGTAAATTTAAATGGCAAAAAATTCGCACAGAGGTAAGGTAATATACAGTATGTTTGAGTTCCTCTTTAATTAGACCGTACTGAAGATTGTACAGTCAGGTAAACAACTGGCAGGATATCCTGCATATTGTCTAGAGAAGGCTGTTGTTGTACTTTGCCTTATTTTCCCCTTTCCTTGTTGAACCAACATAGCTTTAATCTTTAGGAGTGGCGTATATAAGTTTCTGGAGTGGGGACAAGACTCGAAAACAGGGACATTACTTGATTTCCATCCACTTATTTGTTTATTTTTAGTAAACAATGTGTGGCATTGCCAAATGGTTACCTGTTGTATACGCCTCTGGTTGAGGAGAAATTTGAGTGAGTGGTAGGCACGGTCAGCACCTGGTGTCTGGCTAAGGGGGTGGGGGGGGGGTTGCAGGATTTCTCAGTGATAAACTTTCGCGGTGGCCACAGGTGCCAGACTTTCCCTGCTAAGGGAGACTCGTGGTGTAGAGGAGATGGGGGAGGGGGGTAGCGGGCTGGTAGCTTGGTATAGGGTGCAGGAGACCACGTGAGGGCCCTGGAGTGGAGCAGTAGTGAGTGCTACCTGGTGTTGCTGACCACCTGATAAAGGCTTGCACAAGACTTGTCGCGACGTATGAATTATCTGGAGTGTTGGCAGTACAGTACAGGGTACTACAATTTACTTTATACTGTACAGTGTACACGTTTTAATAGTTCCTGTGTACACACTAAGGCTATTATGTTTCTATATTCTTTTTCAAATACAAACATAGGTTTTATATAAACTAATATGTGTACACAAAATAACATAGGTCAGCTTATACTTGCAAGAAAATGCTCACACACACGCGCAGTCACACACATTCATGTGGTCCTCCAGAAACTGAGGAGCATTAATGTAAACATTCTCTGATTGGTGAATATCTTTATTATGGTAAATATTTTGGGCGTATGCTGATGCAATACTGCACTGCTCTTAGCATGGCAAACACATACCTGTGGTGTGGCACACGCCAGGAGGTGGATAGAGAAAATATTGCTCTGCGTTGGTAGAAGTAGTTAGGGAAAGTCCAGAAATGTGGGGTAACATATATATATATATATATATATATATATATATATATATATATATATATATATATATATATATATATATATATATATATATATATATATATATATATATATATATATATATATATATATATATATATATATATATATATATATATATATATATATATATATATATATATATATATATATATAAATAAATTGAAAAACCTTGCCTAATATTTTCCTAACTTGTAAAAATGTTAAGAATCACTTTCGAGTTATGGATCCCTCCTCATCGGAACACCGAAAACACCACCAACACACATTAAAAACCGAAACCACCTACAAAACGCCGAAAACCTGAATAAGGTAAACTTTTTCTAGCTTTAAGATTTTAAAGATTAGGAAACGTAAGGTCAGGTTTTCAGAAGTTTGTTTAGTGTTTTTTTTACACCACATTTTCCCTCTACTTCAAAGCCCTGCCCACTTTAAACAGGTAATATTGTTGGTAATTTTATCGGTTAAAATACTTGAAAAATATAATTTTCTTATGTAAATGCTATGGAAGAAAAGTGATTTAGAATTGTCTTAACTACTGATCCCAAAACTTAAAATCCTAAAATTCGCTGGATGACCGAATCAATTTTACTGTACAATAGGTTTAGTTGGTGCTATTAACTAACATATTAATAATTAGGTTATCCCAACCTACCTAACCTTACCAAACTTCCTAAACAGGGGCTCCACCCCTGGACACCCTGGTGTATTAAATATCCCGGTTCAAGGTTGTTTTGCGAGGGAAACATCATAGAGGAAAATAACTTGATCCAGTTGGTGGCAACAAATGTACAACAGTAATAGCTTAGAATTTTTGTAGTACCTGTACTCTCATGATATCTCGGTTATGGGTAAAATGCGAGAAAGGTATCATAGAAGAAAATTTTCTTATTTTTGTCTGAAATTCTGATTAAACAAAATCAAAACCCGCCATTTTTCACTACCGCTTAGAATTTTTCAACTAAGTTTTCTGATTTTCAACTCCTGATATCTTGGTTATGAGTAAAATGTGCCAAAAGTGTCATAGATGAATATCGTCTGGTTTTTGTCTGAACTTATCATTCGCAACAACAACAACAACAAAAACATAAAATTGTCCTCTACTATAAATTGAACCGTTAGGGAAATTACAGCACAGTACAGGTATATGTATGGGGCCTGGAAATTGTATATCTATAAATCTGTATGTTGCATCAGTTAATTGTGGTTATTATTGTCTTTGCAGGCGAAGCAGAGGGCGTCGGTGGCGTGGATTGTGCAGAAGGCCCACAAGAACAAGGTGCCCGGAGACCTTCAAGACCCCTACTACCGTGACTATGAGGTCAGATACACCAATGTACTGTATGCTGTTCTCTATAATTTTCACACCTGTGCTTTTACTCTTATGTATTATTAGTTTACATTGTTAACCCTTCCTGTGCCTTTGTTCCAATTTATATAGTACAGTAATACCCCGCTTTACGCGGTTTCACTTTACGCGATTCCACATTTACGCGGTACCTCGCCAGAACCAGAATTTCATTTTACGCGGTGCATCTACTCATATACACGGGTAAAGTATAATTTTTTATTTAGCTCATAAAATTCATACAAATTACCCGGCCAGAATATAATTTACATTGCTGGAATTCTTACAATATGATGATCATTTTGAATATAAACATCATGGATTTTGCATTAGACATACAAATTTTAGATCTAATGTAATAATTTGGTTTACACAAAGCAAATATTTTATCTTTTGTGCAAAATATCTGAAGTTTACATTCAAAATATTCCCTGACCTGCAAGGAATCCAGAAATGTCAATTATATTATCCTAACTTTAGTCTGAGGTATTATTTATTACTATACGTTAAAATCTAGTGTTTTCACCCAAACATTTCTCAAGAGAGGGAGGAGCCAGTGAGCTGGGAAGAGTGGGGGGGTGGGGTGGGGGGGGGGTTGAGTCCATTATTTGAATGGACATTAACCTGGCGACTGTATTTCTCTTTAAATATTAATTGCGTGTGCATACCATCATAAAATTAAGATGTTATTTTTACTACAACATAGGTATTGTGTTGGAAAAAGTGGAGTTTGGGGGGGTCAGGCCAGTCTCTATTGGAATTAATCCCATATGTTCTGTTGTTCACTTTACGCGGTTTTCACTTTCCGCGGTACCCCGTGGGTTCAACTGACCGCGTAAATCGGGTACTACTGTATTGTATTCTATTTCATATGCAGTACAGTACAGTAGATTGTTCTTGTTAGGAAAGTACATTCAAAGAAAAAAGTCGCGTTATACTTACCGTGCCTTACATTCTGAAACCCATGACGAATAATTTGGGTAAAGTTCCCCATTCAGACTTAAACCTCGAAGGTTCACTGTCACTTTACACAAATTGTTTGTCGTGGGTTTTGGAACATATTGCTAGGGGGTGTAACACTTTTCTTTTCTTTGTGTGTAAAGTACGGTTACTGTATTATTATTTGAATTGTAAGTATTGTGCAGGTTTTTGTCATAATTTCCTCTTTTCCTTTAAAGATGTACAAAGATGCCCAGCATGTTCCTAATTACTGATCACTTGTCTCTTGTACTCAGTTATTCAGTGTTTGTTTGTTTTCTTTACACCTTTGTTTTATTGTCTGTTGGAAATTTTACAAGTGATCTGTAAGACTGTAAGGGGGAAAAGTAAGGACAAAGTACTGTATACTTACCGTCCAGTTCCACAATCTGTGGATAATTTGTTACTCGGAAAACTAAGCTCTTTATTACAGATAAGACGGAAAATTTTCTGATCTAGCTCTTTAAAGACATGTGTTCCAATACAGTAGTTAGGATGAGCATTTCACTACAGCTGTAAAACACCTGCAGGATAGATGGTTTACCACTGATCTCTGGATTCACAAACTAGTAGAAGGTACAACTGGGGCAGAGAATGTTTTGGCTGTTTCAGCATCAGAGCTGTGGTTGTGTAATTAGGTTTTAGCATGAGTATCATGATGAGGAGACACAGAGTCTTGAAAGAAAGCTTGGTTACTAATTTTCCTGGACAGGTGCAAAGCACACCAAACCCTCATAGAAAGTAAACCAATTAAGGAGCATTTGTATGTGGACTGTGAGTAAACAAACTGGTGCCAGGGTTCATCAAAGTGACCTTTTAAGTAGCTAGCTTTGAATCAGGGTTGAAGTTTGCTTCATAAAGCCTGTTTTAACATGGGGAGTAGCAATTTGATCTACAATTATGTTGATATGAGAGGAATGTGTATCTAACTCTAGAAGGCAAATAGGCCCTTGGGCATGTCAGGTTTTCTCAGGATTTTTTGATAGTGGTGGACTTACAGGTGACTTGATGAATGACCTGCAGGCTATAAATCAGGCTTGACTACAGTATTTTGTTAATGTGTACAGTACAGGGGTGAACAAGTTGCTTCTAATATTCAATCTTTTTTTTTTTTTTTACCCCAAGGGCCAGCCTTGTGTTATTTGACAATACAGTACAGTTCATTACTGTACTGTCTTAAAGTTAATGAACAAGAAAATCTGCATGTTCAAGATGATATTTCACATTTGCTGTAGCCTAAAGTGAATTCGTTTCTCTTAGTATGGTTTAACTGTCATATACATAAGTATTCTGTATAGATCTATGTTTGCTTACTAGTAAAATAGGTTTTTAAAATTTCAGGGGGCAGAACACCTTAAACCGGGCATTGTGCACCGGCTGGCCAATGCAGACCTGTACTGCTCTGCACTGGCCAACATTTACGGTGACCCAAACTTCCACAACCTTAGCCACTGGAACATCATACAGGCCTTGGCCAGGAAGGGGGTTTATGTTGCCGAGCCCACAGATGTTGCCCTCACTGAGACAGTACTCATCCAGGTCACTCCCATCAAAATGGTCAGTTCAATGTTGTTTACTTTCCTTTTTGTTTTGCCTTTTCTCTCTCTCTCTCTAATTCTTGTAGAAGATACAGCATGTTTGATAGTTTTTTGTTTTGTGTAACTAAATTTAGAATACAAATATATTGGTGTGCTGTACTGTAACTATAGACTTAGGATTAATATTTCAAAGTATTGTACCGTTTCTTTTTGGGGTTATGTAAGTACAGTGCAGCAATTTTAGATGCATGAAAAGAATAAATAATAGCACCACACATTAGTATGATAGCAGAACCCATAGACCCAACAGACCATTAGGAACAGTGTGGATACTGCACATAAGACCAAGCCTTATTATAAAAGGAAACAACTTGGTCAGCACTGCACAGTGCACACTACTACCTTTTACTTCCCCAACTGTATATAGTTAGGGTCGACTTTAGGTAGAGTACTGTATTGTACTCCACTCAGCATTTGACCTCTGGACTTGAACTGGTAACCTTTAGATCAAGAGTGTTACATCCATTTGGCTGCCAAACCCACTCTTCTATGATTAGCAAAGACTATACTGTATATGAAATATAGGAAAGAGACCCCCTTGATGTGTGGTTGAAGTTTTGTTGGAGGCTCGTTAGATGGCTCTGCCAAGGTTTGTCGTCTGACAGTTGATATACACAAAAATCAATTCGGTGTTTACCAGAGTTGTTTGGCTGGTGGATGTTTTCCTTGCGTCACATGTAACAGTGTCAATATACTAATGGAAAGAGATATACTGTCAACATGTAAAGTCAGCCAAAGTTCCATCGACCTCACCCTGGCTCTCTACCCTGGCTCTCGTACTCACAATTTTACCTTGCAACACTTGGTGAAGTATGCCTGTATGTAATGGGGATTGTGATTCATGGATCTATATTTGGGTGTCTCACAGTCAGGATAAATATTGAACAATCCAAAGGCAAGTTTCCAAATGTTTGTATATTTGCTTAAATAATGAAAAAAAATATATTAATGAATTGGCAGCACAACTACAACCAGGGCTGCCACAAGATTCTCAAATCAAATTTCAAGAATGCATGTTTCACATTTAATCTTGAGTGTTTCATGAAGGAATTAATTGTCTTTCCAGTGTAAGCATTACATAATATAATTTGATGTAAGTTAAGAGGGCAGACACTGTCTAATAGACTTGCTTACCATTATAGCTTTGATTTTAATATTCATTGGTGAAATAAGTTTATTTTCTTGAAATGTGGAAAATATGCTTACTGTACTAGATTAGAATGTGTGAAGTTAGATAACAGTTGGAGATAAATCCATATAAGGTATTTATTTACTAGTGGAATGAAATGTGAGTTTCAGTGCAGTGTGTACTTAAATATTTTCCAAGCGATTTCCAAAACCCATGACTTCCTTAACTAATGGGCTCCACTCCTAATAGTTTGGTTAGGTTGGGGCCAGGACTTACTTGAACTGCAACCTTTCAAAAGATTGTAAGATGGTAGAGCACATTAAAGAAATAGAAAGCAAAATGAGATTAAATTGTTAAGTGAAACTTTGGAATTCATATTGTCAATTTGTGCTTATTCAAGTTACTGTGTACTGTATCATCAGTCTATGAATTATCTTTTTTCTCTCCCACATTCTGCTTGGGATGGATTAAGGGAAACAAACCTCAAGATATGGAGGAAATACAAGTGTAGAAAGTGAGAGGATAGTCCTGAAACAACAAGTAGAAACACTCGACACACATTTCCTTATATTCTGGGCATGAAAAAAATGTACAGTACAGTAAAACAAATGAATCCTTGCCTCCACACTTTGTATTATGCATTTATTACTTGTATAAAAGGCATTGTATAGTATAGTATTCTTATTAACATGAATTAATATTTTCCATGATTGAATATATGCATTCCTTTTCAGACTAGAGATAACTATACCAAATGTAGCTAGTGTTATGGTTCATTGTCATGTGTTTAGTGCTTGGGTTACTGTTTAGCATTGTTGTCATGTGTAACTGTTTAGAATGTACCAGTGCAGTACAGTACTGTACACTGTTTTCATGCAGTACTGTACAATCGTAGAATGCACAGTCACAAATATCTTGTTTCATAACTAGTTTTGTATATTTGTTTCAGTCTGCTCATTTGGCTGTGATAGAGGCTATGATGGCCCTGTACATCAGGGAGGTGGTGGTAGCAGATCGAGCAGTCACGGTGCTACAGCGTGTCAGTGGTGGTGTAATGCCTGATCGCACTCCACAAGACCAGGAGGAAGCGCTTGTGCTCTGGATCAGTCATGTCACGCTGGCCTTACAAGAGCGAATACATCAACAGGTTCATTCTCAGGTTAGCTTGATCTCCCCCCCCCCTCGGATATATATATATATATATATATATATATATATATATATATATATATATATATATATATATATATATATATATATATATATATATATATATATATATATATATATATATATATATATATATATATATATATATATATATATATATATATATATATATATATATATATATATATATATACTAATTTTTATATTTCGGATGATGATGCTCATCATTGTGGGTTCTTTTTATTGTGATTTAAAAGTAAAATAGTGCAGTTGCTGTGACCTAGTAGAAATAAGGTTATCAAAGGACTTGTCCCATGTGTAGCTAAGTAATTATTAAATTAAAATTTATAATTTTATGGTAGTGGATATAGAAGAAAGTTTTGTTTAAATAGGAAGATGCCACAGGTGACCACCACCTCTTAAGTGGAGGCCCACCTCCAGTGAGACTGCAGTATAAAGAAAAAATAGCTAAATAGCACCAATGATAAAATGTAGAGTACAGCATGATGTAATGACTAGAATGTAGATAAGATGTTTTTGAATGGTGTGCCTGTTTCTGGAGTATAGTATTGTGGGTATTACATTTAGAGTTCATTACTGGTGTTTAAAAATCTTTGACCCTTTATACCAGATTTTTGCTAACTTCTAATTAATAGAATATTTTATTTATTGTGAAATACTAAAGTTACAGTATAGTAATGTTATGTAATAGCAAGTTCACCATAGTTTAGTAGCAGAACATGTACTCAGTGTGTGTAGTATGGACAATTTAAATCATAGCTTACTAATTATTGGAACACTGCCGCCCTCACACAGGACCAGGAGATGCCAGTTTTTCCCCGCATCCAAGACCTGAGCGATCTGAGTGATGGCATCGGTCTGGCTGCTCTCGTAGCCTTCTACTGTCCCCAGGAACTCCCATGGGGAGATATAGCAGTTGCTGATCCTCCCTCCATTGCTGATTCACTATATAACATTGGTCTGGTCATTAGATTTTGCCAAGAGAGCCTCCCATACAACCCGTGTCTCCTAACCAAAGAAGACATTGTATATATGCATAGGTGAGACTCTTTACTAGTCCTCTCGTGAAAGGAAATTTTGTTATGTATTAGTAAGTTGCTGTGTAACTCTTGGTTATAGATTTAATTGAAACATTTTGGAATGGGAAAATAGGGCATGACTTATTTGCACACTTCACTTGAATCAATGAATTACTGTAGTATACTTTTATTATTTAGTACAGTATATTGTAAATTGTGTTAAGTTCACTAGTCTTTTGTGTATAGTAATACATAGAAAGATACTAGATGATGATACATTGCTAACTGAACCATCTTTGTGTTCACAGCTCAGTGAAGCAGAATGTGCTGGCCTTCGCAGCAGAGCTATTTTTTCTTCTAGAGCTGGAACCTGTCTCGTGCGTGTCACTGCCAGGTACGAAGAAGACATCCACAAAATTTATCCAGCTCTCTTCCCCAGGTTTGTTTTAGTTGGTTCTATGCCACATTAGCATTAATTTACTTTTTATTTTTTATTATAGAAGAAAATTGATCATCCGAGAACTGTTGTTGAGCAACAGTCACTTTTTCTTTTTGAAGAATTCAGGTGGAGGAATCAACGTCGATTGTTGACACTTTTGTTGGCATTGGTCATGCATGCTTCTTACACTTAACCTGTATTTTAGGCCCTTATTAACACAATTTACTCCTACCATAGACAATAGTAGCTAATGTCACCATTATCAGTCGGTAATACAAGAGACTGAGCTCTTGTGGATCCTAGTCCTTGCTTGTATTACGGCTGTGACCTAATTATTGCTTTAGTGCTATTTCTGGTTATTTGGTCTCTGCTGACAGTGAAATACTTGACTCAAACTGAAAATTATCAAGATAGGTTAATTCCTCTTAATTCTTCCTTTTGTATGTCAATGTTTCTATACTCTTGGGAAAACTTTTAACAAAATGTGGCAACAAATGATTCTGTCTTTGACTCTGTAAATCTTTTGTTGTTCAGTCAAGTTTTTCTTTGATTTAATAACCTTCAGATATTGTTGTCATTATTTGCTTGCACTTGTTTTAATTGCTTCCTGGTTGCACACCTGCTTTTCTCGCTAAAATGGAAGGGCATTAATTATGTATATGTGTATGGAAATATTCTTAATTGTTTATTTTCTGGTACTGATCTGTTAAGGTGTTTGATGGTAAAGATTCTCAGTATGCACTAGTATTGAAGAAGCATTATGTACTATCAGAGAATGTTCCCCAGTAGCACTAACAACATCAGTTACGTAAGTGTCATTCACATGTGAAGACAGTTATGGCTTATAGTGTTTTGGTATGTGGAAGATACAACCTGGGTCCTATGGTATACTGCACAGGTGGTGGTGGGTGCAGCGGTTGGAGTGGGTACCAACGGAGTATGAAGGTCATCCCTGACCTTCGAGCGAGCCTCTCACCCTCCTCGGCCCACTCCACCGCCTCCTCCTCCTATTCTTCCGCCCGGTCTTCCTCCCATTCACAGCATTCACAGCAACGATCGCCCTATTCCACGCTAAGAGGTATACTAATCCTTCAAGTAATGCCTCCTGCATGTCTCCTCCCTGCTTCTGTTCCAGTAGACAGTAGCTTTGGTAACTGCAGGGTTGTATTTATATTTCTCTGGGTATAATGAGGACTAAAAGATTTTATTTCAGACCTTACTTAAGCTTGTTGAATCATCAGCATAACTTTTGTGCCTAAAAGAAAGATGTGGAACTATAGATCCAAAACACCAGTGAGCACCTACAATGCCATGTGCCAACATTCTGTAGTTTTACTGTACAGTATATTTACAGTACAGTACTGTATTCATATATGTTTATGCACTTGCTGAACAGGACATATAGTGTGATCAAAATCTCTCACAAAGAGTTTACTTATATAACTACAGGTGCTCCTCTACTTAAGAATGTTCAACTTACAAACTTTCAGAGATGCAAACATCATCACTGAAGGGGTGTTACTTGCCAGAACAGGTGTTTAATGTGGATGAGACTGAATTATTTTGAAGAAAATTCCAGATAGAACAAACATTACCTAAGAGGAGAAGAGTGAGCCAGGTTTTAAAGCTGTATTAAAGGTTATAGCTGTACTAAATATCCATAATCTTTTCATTTTTTACAATGTTTGATATCTACAAGAGTAAAGTTGGACTTACAAACAATTGGACTTGCAAACAAGCCTCAGGAACATAACTCGTTCGTAAGTAGAGGAGCACCTGTAGTCTTATAGTTTATATCATTTTGATGCCAGACTTAAGACAACCTCATCATCATTTATGGATGCTCATAGTGTCTGGGTGTTACTGTTCAATAAACATCAGTGTCACAGTTGAAGATCCAATTTGCAAACTCGGGTCAGAGTACAACAAATAGTTCAGTAAGACATCCCAATTATGGTATCACTTGGCCAGGTTCTTTCTATTTAATGCAGATCCCCATTAAAGGTTAGGGTCATGTGATAGCCAAAGGCCAAAACTTTGTTCAGTGTGATTTTTCTATCAGTACAGATATTTTAGTGAAACATTATGTGAATATGCAACAATACTTGACGAAGTGCTGAATGCCAAATTCAAATATGTGTGTCAGTTCAAGGTTATTGAATGGTGAAAAGTTTAAACTTTGTCTGGATAATAATTCTTATACTGTACTGTATTGATGCAAATATTATGATAAATCTTTACATGAGCATGCATTATCACTAAGCATTGTGCAGGGCACCTGATGTTGAAGGTTGATGTGACCATTGCAGGTCAGAAGTCAAAACCTTCAGAGTTTAACTTTTGTGTATGTGGTTATTTTTATAGATTCGTAAGAAAAATTATCATCGTCATACAGAGTGCAGAAAACTAACTTCAGGTATTTTGTCAGAGGTGTGTCTGATAAATCAGCAGTTGGTTGTGAATGTCAACCAAAAGTAAAGTGATGAAAAGGAGGAGAGAGAGTCAGCAGGGGGTAATACATACTAGGATGAATGGAGGACATGACCTCAAACCAAATTATGAGTGACGAATTAAACCACAGAGTAGCCGAGGAAAAGAAAGTAATTAGGTCTGCTGAGAAGTATATGGAGAGAGAACTACATTATAACTGTGTGTGCTGCAACAGGGGGCCCTCTGGACACACACACACACACACACACACACACACACACTGCTTTTCCTCTTATTTTGGAATTACTGTACAGGTATACTGTACTTATTTCTCTGGCCTTTAGACGTCTTAACTTTTCTTAATCATTCCCAGAGTCAAAGGTAAAAAGAAATCAAGGAAAAATAGCCCCAGTGAGTTGTGCTGTACATGACTTCACTCAGTCCAGCCATGCAATTATTCCTAATAAAATTATTGTTCTCCTTATATAAAGATGATCTTCATGTCTTTTACAGTAACTGATATTATGGCGGTGTTAGATGAACGTTCTTGCAATAAAAATGATGACAATGAAGTTGGAAAGAGCCAGAGAGGGTGAATGCTTTATACAATATTTAAGCAGTGAGCTTTATGGCATGTATGAATGAACAAATAGTACGGAGTGAGATCAAGAATGTCTTCAGTAACAATCCATTGTTTTTTAAATTGATTATATGTGTGAAAAAAATTGAGGCTATGGTCTTACTAGGAATAAAAACTAGCAGTACCCTGTATAAAATTCTTCTTGAATATTAGATTGGAATTAATAATTAATAATTTAGAAAATATGGTTATTACAAAAAAAGGTACACCATACATTATCTTAACTTATATAATTTAAGCTTGTTGATGGTGTTTGTGGTTACATGATGCCACACGGTCACACACAATATTATATCCCCCACACACTTCACACCCTCCCTTCCCACACACCACCACCATGCATCCTCACCATGACCACTACAACCTCGTCTGTAGGGCAGTTGTACCCAACATCACACAGGAACTCAACTCAGCACAAGATAATGCTAGTTACTACCATCTAGCTGTCAGACAAAGCTAGCAACCATTTGGCCACCATACACAGCAAACATAAGGCTGCCTCACACAACTAGCTACTGCGTCGCCACAACAGCTACCTATCTTGTGGTCACCGCGAAACCATTTATAACTAGATGCCATTAATATGAAAAGCAATACTGTACAGTAATAAAACTGGAACCCAAGTTAAGACATACAAATAATTCTCCTTTTTTTCGGGGATCAACCCACCCGGGCACAGGTCATCGGCCCACGTGCAGGGCCTAGGGGGCAAAAAAATAAGAATACAAAGAAATTAAAAATAGAAAAGGAAGAGGTTATATTAATCTACACCACGAAGATGCTGGAAAACCATCTTTTTAAAGTGAGACATTGTATGAGTGTGGAAACACAGAAGGAGGCAGAGCATTCCACAGTTTGTCTGTGTGAGGAAAGAAGGATGTAATATAACGGGTTATTCTAGTGTGACCGACATCCACAGAGAAATGGTGGGCACCGCGGATAAGACATGTGGTACGAGCCCATGGCCTTGCCGGCGGTACAGAGGATGCCAAATCCACCGAACATTTGCCTGTTAAAGTACCTGTAAAAGAGAGAGAGTGAAGCAACATTGCGGCGAAGAGAAGGGGAAAAAAGATAGTCAACTAAAGGAGGAGAGTTAATAAGACAAAATGCCTTTGATTCCACCCTATCAAACAGTTGGACAGAAGAGCCACCCCAGATATGAGAGCAGTACTCCAACTTAAGACGAATGAATCCCTTATACTATACTTGAAGCAACTGCTCAGGAGTGAAGTAACTACGGCATCTGTACAGCATTCCCAGCTTTCGGGAGGCAGCTTTAGTTATGTTGAGGATGTGTGTTGTTTCACTTAGATATATCTACAAAGTCTGTCTTTGATGTTGGTGGTGACTGATTGTGGACAGACAGCTATTTCTTTGGTGTGTTGGGTGGACTGGGTGGTGGGTTGGGTGAGGGAAGCATGCATGGCAGTGGTGGGCTGGTTAGTGAAGGCATGCACGGCAGTGGTGGACTGGGTGGTAGGGTCATACATGGAAGCAGTGGTCATGTACATTTGATGTTTTAAGAAAGTTGTACTGTTATTCTGTGAAAAGGAGTATTCAAAATTATGTTTTTATGGTGTGCAATGTTTTATTATGGGTAACCCATATGGGTGTTGTGTATCATTTTATACAGTAGTTGTTTGTTAGAGAGAAGTGCAAATATTTTAGTATGAGGAGAGGGTCTGGAATGTAACCCTTTAATTTGTAAAATTCATCTGCATCTTTGTGCAGCCTCAATGGTACATGAGAGAGAGACTATTGGTACAGGTATACTGTACATGATATATTTAGGACTTGTGAACCTGTTCATATATTTATGTTCTTGCCTGTAAGGTCCCATAGTGTTTAGGCACTTATGTGCTTATTTATTGGACAAAATTGGGTGAATATTTTAAGTTTGTACTTAGCTTCTTGGCGGGCACATATTCTTTTCAGTGGAAATATTTATAGTTCATCCAGAATTAGTTGACTTATGTCCATTTCCACCAGAAAAAGAAAAAAACATACCGGTATATGATGTTAAGCACATTACTGTTGGTTTCTGTTAACAGCGTTCTACCACTGTTCATTTGCTTATCTTTGAACTCGATATAAAATCAATAAGTTAATGTTTGTGCTGTAATATGGTAGGTGATGTTACAGTATACCCTGGACTAAACTGGAATACAGTACAATAATTTCAAATTAGTGTGAAAATACTCTGAAATTACTGTTTTAAGTCATTTTCCATTCAGTTTGTAGGTAGTTATGCATGTCCAGGGACAACATGTATGATTTTTTTTTTCAGTTTACCTGTATTTGCATTTTCTTAGCATGGTTTTGTGAATAAAAAAGATTTTTGGTGCTGATTAGAATTTGGTGCATTAAGGCATTAGATAAAGATAAAAAATGGAAGACAAAAATTGTTTCGGTAGAAACCAAAGATTGTGACCAGAAAAATATATAGTTAATGTGGTGAAGAGCAAATGATTGCTACTTTTGAAAGAGAAAAGCAAATGCAGTAATCAACTTTGGATATGGAAGATGTAGAATAGTGAAAACGGAGATGCTCCAGAGATGCGGAAGTGGGCGGTATCACCACGACCGACACGACTTGCTTAGCACATGTCACAGTATGTCTACTGCAGGAATTAAGCTGAGAGATGCCTAGACTTTTTTATTTTTTTATTTATATATTTTTTAATAGTTGGTACTGGGTGTTCAGTAACATTTCCTCCCCAGCATATACTTTTAAAACCTTCCATAGCAGTTCCTTATTCACTTACATGTACTGTTATGTTTACTCCTGTGTACATGACCTTTGCAGTATTTTTCAATTAAAATGTTCTTAGTCATTATGAGGATTTACTTTTTAAAGAGTTATTGTTGTTCTATAAATCGTTTCAAGTTCAGCACTCAATTTACCTCCAAGGAACCCTGTTCTATGAGGGACATGAATGTTAATCATGCACATTAAGTGATAACTATTCTGCTTTAAAGATTCACTAATATAAGCTATGCCTGTTTTCAATTATTGCACAGTCACTGCATCTGTTCACTCCCTGCTGTGTAAAACTGTATGTATCTATCTATGAAACCTATTACAATATACAGTATAGTACTGTAGTAATATTTACTGTAAGTACTGTATTGCAATACTTCCATTTTCCAGCACTTGTATTAATTCCCAGGAGCCTTACCTCATTTCACTCTTTAAAATCATATATTTTCCCCATTCCCAGTCACCCAAGAAAGTTTTGGCATCAATCCCCTTATCTTTAAAGGCCAAAATTGGATGTTTTTGCTTCATATACATTTTAACTGTAAAAAAATATTGATTCTATAATTTGTCACTGACAAGATTGTTTCATATTTTAATAGTTATGTGCTCCATTCCATCTTCCCATTGCGAATACGTGGGCCAGGGCCAGGGGTGGCGAGGAACACCCATATAGAGAGAGAACGTTGAGTTGGCAGGAATACCGAGTCACAAACACGTTTTATTTTCTCCTGTTGCTTTGAGACTACCATCACTGTCTCTTATTTCTCTTTAAAGCTTTCTTGCTCTTTCATCAACTTGTGTATTTGGATCAGTTTTCAGTTCCATGTTTATGTTGTTGTAATATTCACTATTAACATTTAATATTCACTTTGAGCTCACCTGCATAAAATGCAAGGATCACTTAGGGCATAAACCAGTGTTGTTATCATTGGTGTAAACTATGTTAAGAGTGATGTCCAAATGCACGTGCCAGCAAACTTTGTTGTCTTTACTGGTAGCACTTGTTTGCTTGCACAGTAGGCCTTTGCACATTGTCATTCCCTTTGCTTTTCCCTTTTCTTGTTCCTTCCCTTTTCTGCATAAATTACAATCATTGAATTTTCCTGAAGTCATATACTATATGTTGTAAATTCTTGTATTAACGATCCCTTTCTTTCTATCTCTTATCTTTGTGCTGTCAGTTTCATACATATCTTTCTTCCTTTGTCAAGAACAATCTCTAGCCGCTTGTGCCATATGTGATGATTTTAATTTCTTACTAAATTGTGATTTTATTCTGCCATCCATCATTCACTCCCTTAACCTGTTGTCCATATTTCCCAATGTGTTATACATCATACAGCATTTCAACTTTAAAACATTGTGTTGAGCTGTTTCATTAATTTTCATTTTACCTGTACTGTACAACAAACAGTGTTAAAAAATGCAGTGATGTTAAATGGTTTCTCTGAGGCACCATTTCTAAATTGTATTTCAGCATACAGTACTTTTTGTGATTGTATTGTATGATGACATGTAGTCATTGTGTTGTATGATGACTTCACTTGCATGATGATGGTTATTAAATTTCTTCTTTCCAGTGATAAATTTTTATTTCAGAAATTGATTTTACTTTTTGAAATTGAAAAATTCTCAATTATTGTACTCTACTTTGTGTAGCCAGCCATTTATGTGTTTGATGTGTGTTATGAAGAGAATATCAGCTTTTTTATTTCATTTGCAACAAACAAAAGCATGGCCTATTGCAACTCCTACTGTTTGGGAATAATTAATTCAAGATGAACTTGGTATAAACTACCGTAAGTTGTGGCTTATAAGTCGACATTTTAAGTTTGAAAAATCTTTCCAAAACCAGAGGTCGACTTATACGCCGAGTATAAAATGTGAAGCTTTACCACAGAGTGCTAAACAAGTGGAACAGCCTGCCCAACACTCGCTGTGCATCACTTGCGTAACTCCCGTGGCCTGCCGCTAATATTTCCTACTGAAATTCATGTTTAGTAAATTTATTTAACATAGAGCTTGTAATAAAATAGTAAATTCCAGTATAATTAAACGAACACAACACCACACGCCATTTCCAACAGCTGATGCACAGTAAACAATTGATCAGAATGCCACTGAACTCAGGTGGCTAGCCAGACAACTACCTGGTACTACCCAGCAGTTTGTTTACACCATCTGATGCAAATGGCGGATCGTAAGCTAGGTGTACCATAATGTTCTACTATCATACCATATATATCGGTACTATCAAGGTGCTTTACTGGTATGCTGTGTAAACAATTAATATTTTATTGGAGGTGCTGATTTTGGCTTGGTGTTTACCAGAGTTCTTATGAAGATAACTTACGGAAGATTTTTAACGGTTGATTGCTGTCGTACGTAGATCCTGTTGCCCACTTCCCTTTTTGTATGAACTATATAATTTATATATCAAATATTGAAAGGTATTATGGTAAGTGTCTTGATGAAAGTGGAGTGGCTATATCCACATTTCAGTTTTAGCCTAGCCTATGTTTGGGCCTTGGGGGGTCGACTTATACGGTGAGTATAGGCCTAAACTTGAATTTAGAACAAAAAATCTTAAGGTCGACTTATACGGCGCAACTTACGGTATATGAGTTCCTGCTCTTTGCCATTTGAGGTTACTGGTGTTAAGTGTTTTGTTTATTGTACAGTTGGAGTTTAATACACCATGCTTGGTTGTCAGGCAACTACTTTTTGCCAGCTTCAATCTATTGCTATTTTAGTTAAAAAAAAATCTTCTGGTATGATTTGTGGGCTACTTCAGTACTGTACTATGTTCCTTTTTCAGTATACAGACTAGAAAGATTTCATCTTTTGCTTTTGTGCTTCTATGGATGCTGTGCTTCTAGTTTGAGAATCTTGTTTTTTCAAGTATTCACCTTTCCCAGAAAGCTCTTGTAAACATTTACACACATAGAAAAAAATAAGAAGCCATGAAACTTTTTAGTAATAAGTTAATAATTGATGAGTGCCTGTTGATGGTGCACTAGGTCGGGGAGGAGTCAAATCACCATCCTCAGGGGGAAGCGGATCAGGATCAGGGACGGGGACCGGGTTGAGACGACAACAATCCCTGACGGAGCGTGACCGGCTACGCAGGGATCGAGTCTCCGTCCATGAGGGTAATCACAGTCCCATTTAATTGATGTTTGCTGGAGATCCTCATCAATTTTAACATCTACGACAGTTTGAGTGTTTCAGATAGCACGGGACTTGTTCTTTTTGTCAATTTGCTTGGTAATAATACAGTAATACTAACAGTTTTTGTTACCAGTACTAAACTTATTGCATGTTTCTAGAATACTGATGGATTATCGCTAAAATAAACTGCATTATTAGATTGTATGAATTTGTAACTTTTCATGTTTTAAGCATTACATACAGACGGTATGTACCATTTTCGCAGAGTGGGGCATATTTGTATATACAAGAGTTCCTAAGAATGGGAGGATGGTATTGGGTTCAAAGAAGGATATTTAACTATTAAGTTATAGTATGAGTTACATATTACTCAACAAATGTAGCAAAAACATTAAATGTATGTGCACATATGTGTGGTCGGGGGTTACTAACTTACCTTATACTGAACCTGCATTTCTTATGCTGCTTTTGCTCCTAATGGTATGTTGAGAGAGTTTGTTCTCTGTACATAATAGCTTCATCCCTTGCTGCACTGTCCGTCACTTTTGGTGTCAAACTAACTTTGTTACTCACTAACTTGTCATGGTGCTTTATATTATGCGTTTCTTGTCACAGGCCAGCTTTATCAGTTGTGTTAAGTGGAACTAATCTACTTGATTGATAGTGCAGAAATATATCAACCTTTTTATTAACTTGAGTAATATTTACTGGAGTAATGAGCTTGATAATAGGTAGTGTGTGTTGTTAAACTAACAATTTGCCTCTTGACTGTGTGTGGGCTACAGGAGATGAAGAGGGGGCATGCGGGGGGTTCAACTGGGGGTCTATATACCCTCAATGGTGGTGGTCTTGCAATCATGAGGTGACAGACCGCGACTGCATATACTGCTGGAGACAATACCAGTCACAGACCTTCGGTGATCAGTACTCGTACTATCTGGCCTCAGCCCACACCTGCCAGCCCACCCGGCAGGAGCTGACCCCTGCCGTTGGGACGAACCATGGCAGGGGGTACCCGCAGGGCCTCGGCTACAACATACCCGTTAGAGACGGCCCCCACTACCCTCTTCCACCCAGTCATGGCCTGTCACATGAACGTGTAAGGGCACGGGCCAGTCACCCAGCCCATTTACAGGACTATGGTAAAGTGTTTATCATGAACTTGGCACCCTTGTGGCACTCAGTTATGTTGTGCTTATTGGGGGGCCGGTAGCATTTCACAAGTACATGTACTCTGTTTCATTTTAAAAAAGTCTTTGGTTTTCATATAAATGGCTGCTGGTTTTTTTAATATTATTATTTGTGTATTTCGAAATGCATGTGTTGCGGCTTGTTTATGAAGTTTGAAGATTATTTCATAAATTTTGTAAACTTAAGTTATTTAATTAATTTTGCAAAATTGATTACGCCTTGATTTTGAGATTTTTTTTCTTTGTTGTGTTCTCGTAGTTTTATTGTGCTGATCATCACATGCAATTTTAAGTTTTAAATTGCCCATGTTTAGATGTAGTATTCGAGGAATGTTTCTGGTGAGTTGTACATGCATAGACATTGCTTTGCTCCACCAAGGTATTATAGGTGTAGTATAAGAATAATTTTGTTTATGCATGAAAGCTTATTTCATTATCAATACTTGGTATTGCCAGCAGCCATTTATGAAATCAGAGATTAATATTTGTTGGAGATTTGATATGTTGATGCCTCTTTTGTGATGGGCCGGCCTGACTGGTTGGTGGAGTTGGTAACTATTACATAAGCTACAAGGCCACAATCACCAAGTATTGATTATATGAAAGCTGTCCAGACATGCACATGAGGAGGGGTTACCCGAATGGGTAGAAAACACTTACCTTTTTATGTTTAGAGTTTTACCCTTATAGATTTAAGTGTTGTCCTGGAGAGAGAGAGAGAGAGTGTGTGAGTGTGTGCCTGCATGCACATGCCATGCATATGCATGTGTTTTCCTTGTGTGTGTGTGTGTGTGTTTGTGTCTGCATCTTAATACACACTTTAAGTTTAGTATATATATTTTAGGAATTAACACATACTGCAACAGTATAAGGTTCAGCCTAGTAATTTTTGATACATAACACATTGAAACATTTCATGTAAAAAAAGCAGCATTCATTGATTTGATCACATAAATGAATACAGTATGTTTTTCCCACTAGCTTGTACATGACAGCAGTGGTTCATGATGTCACATAGTATAACATTTCTTCCTGATAACAGGAATGAAAACTGCTGGAGCCCCCAGTGTACGGCGGTCACACTCTATGAATTTAAATGACATGACGGACATTAGATCAAGGGTGGAGCAGAGAACAGACAAGTCTGAGAATGCACCATCCTCCTACAACAGTGACTATGGTGGCAGGGACAGGTGAGTAGTTTGTGTTAGTGAATTTTTCTTGGTTGTGAATGTAAGATTTGTCATGCTTTACAAAGCTTTGGAAAAAATATTATTGGTCATTACGTTAACAGGATCTTTGAAAAACTAATTCGTCCTCATCTGCAAGAATCTATCCCTGCATTGACAAATTGTAATAAGATTAGGGATATAAGAACATAGCAGCAGGTCTCGTGTACAGCTGGGAAAATTTCCGAGTGCTACACCCACCCACAGAATTCGAACCCTACAAATGGGATACCAATGAGCTCGAAGCAGCTGGTAATTCTGTTATTCTGGTAACATTGTGCAAGGGAGGAGGGGGATGAGAGATGGACAGCTAGGGGTTAGGGGTGGTGGTAGTGTCACCGAGTTCTGTGCAGGAGGAAGTTGCCAAGTATTGTTTCTGTACAATAAGAATAGATGAAGGCAGAAGGGACCTAATATCAATTAGGTTAGATTAGGTTAGGTTAGATGGTCCTGCAATAACCTAGGCAGGTCATATTTTACCTATCTTACATAATACTTTACAGTACAAATATATGGTAGAGATAAAAAGCTTTTCACCATAGGGATGATACAGCAACAGTAGCCCATCTGTCTAATACATAACTGGACTCCTCATAACCAAAAGAAAGGAATTTCAAAAAAAATTTACAAGGGAATATGATTAGTAGGTCTATACTCTTCATAGACAGGTATTTAGGTCTATACTCTTCAGAGACAGGTGTTTAGGTGTATACTCTGCAGAGACAGGTGTTTAGGTGTATACTCTGCAGAGACAGGTGTTTAGGTGTATACTCTGCAGAGACAGGTGTTTAGGTGTATACTCTGCAGAGACAGGTGTTTAGGTGTATACTCTGCAGAGACAGGTGTTTAGGTTTATACTCTGCAGAAACAGGTGTTTAGGTGTATACTCTGCAGAGACAGGTGTATATAGGTGTACTTTAGGTGTATACTCTGCAGAGATAGGTGTTTAAGTGTATACTCTGCAGAGATAGGTGTTTAGGTTTATACTCTGCAGAAACAGGTGTTTAGGTGTATACTCGACAGAGACAGGTGTTTAGGTGTATACTGTACTGTACTCTGTAGAGACAGGTGTTTTATATAATAGGCTAGCTCATTGTAGATGTGTAAGGTGGTACAAATAGTATATGGCAATTAGTTCTACACTGGATACTAGACAATTTTCATTCGCTTTTTTGGGGGGGGGGGTTGTTATTTCCATATAAATTTTTATTTGAAAATCATTATTTTGATTCATATGTTTTGAAATGTTTAACAGTTATTTTATAAAACATTTATAGTACATCAAAGCTGAAGCTTTTACTGCAGTTTCTATCAAAGTTTACCTGTCGTGTCGTGCATTATATATGTACTGTATGATGTTGAATACATGTTGAAAATACTGTATAGGAGTCCATTAAAAATATACTATACAGTATGTGTTGTATGCATGAAGAAATCTTAATGTTTTTTCTAAAAATTTGCTTAATCTTTTTGTTTACTCCATAGCTCAATGAGTGATGGCCAAGAGGGTGACTTTGTTGTACAAAGATCACGAGGACTTGCCACTCTCAGTGACATGATGCGCGCAGTGTCTCCGAGACCCTCACAAGAATTAGATGCGCCGTACTCCTCCAGATCTACTACCAAAGAAAAATATAACATGGACAGTAAAGAAGAAGAATTAGGTGAGAGGAGTAGAGGGCTCAGTCGGCGTGGGAGCTTTAATAACTCTCACCCTGATCTCCCAGCCGCCGGTATGCCCTCTCGCTATGAAGAGAGACCACATGGCCGTTCAAGATCTCGTCGCAATTCAATTAGTGCAGAGGACTCCCAGTTAACAATAGAAAATTTTGGTGGAAGCCAAGACAACTTAAATTACATTTCCAGAAATCCTGATAAAGAACCTTTTGTACACACTGGTAGAAGGGAGAGTTCGAACTTGGAAGGGTCACATCTGCGGGACTCTCGAGAGGGCAGTGCGAGGCCTGAATCTCGGAGCAGTCGTGAGCGAAGCGTTGAAAGGCGGTTAGACTTCCATCGTGGTAGCATTGAGGAGTTAGATAATCGGTTGGTAGATAAATTAGAAAGAGAAGCTCTGGAACGTGAGAAACGTGAGCCTTCCCAATATACGAGCAAAGAAAGATTGATAGTGCTAGACCCTAGAAAAAGTTCAATGGAGGTAATGGACTCTGGAAGTGAGAGTGACGTTTCATTTGATAGAGAAAAGCAAATGGTAAAAGCTACTAGTTTTGCTGAGCTTTCAAAATTAAAAGAACAGCTTCCAGGAGGTATTAATATTATTTACATGCAATCAGACAAGGATGATTCGTCCAGGAGGAGTAGTAGTAAAGGTTCAGAGAAGAAGACCACCTTTGCTGCCTTGCCCAATCAGACCACTTGGAAGCAACAGAGTGCCCAAAGTCACTCTGATGATAATAAATCTGTTACAGGTAAGTTAATTTGTTTTCAGAGAAATATGAATGATGACCTCACATACCGTACTAACAGAGACTGTTTGGTACCACTACAGTCGCAACATAAGTATGCTTTGAATTTGACCACTTAAATTAAATTTTAAATGTTAGGAAAGGTGAATGATGCATTGAATGTGTTGAAAGGAATTTAACCTTTTTAATATATTTATTCATAAACACTCAAACCTCAACGAATAATATGAAATCTTCATGGTGTTTATGAGTATGACAGTGCACAAGCCATGTGATGTGTTACTTTGAGGTCAAACTAGCCTTGGAACCAGCATTTTACATTTGTCAACTTTTTTTTTAGTATACTTTAGCTATTTAACCTTTTCTCTTAAACCATATATCCATTTTATGACTATAACTATGGTAAGTAGATTTTTGGTTGACAGATACTGTACTTTAGTGTACTAGGTTTAGGTATTTAAAAAAAACCAACGTGATAGAAAGGTTTCGTGCATCTTTTAGTGTACTGCAGTTGTATTATGTGTAGGAGCCAAATTTTTTCCTGTATGAATGTTTCTCCAGTTCTGTAGTGGTTGTCTGTTGTTTATTTGGTTTCTTTATGCATGATTTTGAGGTAAAATTTTTTGGCAGTGCATCTATGGTATTTCATAAAAAGAGGAAAGCCTGTATGAGTTTTGTTTGATAGAGAATTACTGGAGAAGGTTTGTAACATGTTTACCACTCGACTGTATTTACACTGTATTCATTGAAGGCAGCCAGCTTTAGGGGTGCACCAATTTTACTATCTGTCCAGTTATCAGATTTACTAGATAATTTGAAAATCCAGTCCAAGTTATGTTGCCAGTATAATTTGTGATAATTTGTGTATAATTAGGCTGGGCTAACTGCAAGCCTACACCTGCACTCTTGCAATACAGTAGTCTTATGTTTTAGGAAGCTTCATCTACATGGTCATTCGTCTCTCCTAAGTTATATTTTTGTCCATGAAACATTCTAGTTTACAAGAAATAATATTAACATTACCTTCTCCATCAACAGCCACATATGTTACCTGTTGGACTTGGCTCGCCCTCTGTCCATCCATAACTTACCCTGTGATAATATAAGTCTTTTTATACTCTTATTATAATCATTATGTATATTTTACTCATATAAATCTTACAGTTGGTATTTTCCAAGCATAAAGAAATTAAAATTTTAACTATTTGACCAGGTACCAGATTTTTAAAATATCCACTATCTGGCTGGTTAGTCTATTTGGTGCACCACTAGTCAGATTACTTAGCTGTATTCTGTATTTTATTACTACAGTTAACACAAAATAAGGCTTCATTATGTACAGTCTTAAGAAACAAGCTTGGAGTTACTCAATGACTGATGGTTTGAAATAATGGACTTACTGTTATAGTTGTAGATACAGATACATAGACAAAATACAGGTTGAGAATCATGTATCCAAAATTCCCAAAACCAAAAAAAACTCTGAAAACTAAAGAATATTCTCGAAAACACAATTGATGTTGGTCACTCAGCTGACCTGAGCAGAGCCTAATGCACCCAACCATTGAAAGTTGGCTGGGAAACTTGGTTCTTTGTCAAAATAGTTTATAGCCAGACATGCTCACCTTATTCTGAGATTTGTGGTTTTTTTTTAGCAATGGGCTTTTGGGCTGTTATGGTGAAAATATAAAAAAGATCAGTAGAAATCCCTTTGGGTAATGATGAAAAAAAAGTAAAGAAAAGAAAGCACCACTCTTTATCAATAGCAAAGAAAATAGAGATGTGTTCATACATATTTTTTTTTTAGTCACCAGAAGTAATAAAAGCAGACTAATATTTATGGATATATTATATATTGTAATTTTTTTACCGCACACATGTCCATTAAATCTGGGCATTAATTAGCTGCTGTAATTACATAGGATACAATATTGTATAATGACCATATCTGATAACAACTTATACAGTCTATTGAGCACTATTAAGGAGTACAGGCCTTTCATAATTTGTGGGAGGCAGTAAAATACTAAATATTAATACTGTACAATAATTAATTTGAAATATCTGCTAGTAGACGATCAATTGTGCTTTCGTCTGCTGTATGGAGAGTAGGGAAACTGTGTGTATTTCCATCAGCTGATTGATTGTCTTCATTTGATGTTTATTTATTAACCTTTTAAAAACTTATTTTTGAAATACAGTATTATAAATATTAAATGGTTCTCTAAGAAAGGAAACATTAAAGCCATATTTAATGTTCTTATACTAAATGTGATGAGGATAAGCTGTAGCACCATTGGTATGTTAAACAAAGAACAAGTGAGGGATAGAGTAAAGTAAACAATTCTTCTGACAACACTGTTTCTCCAACACTAATTCCATCATTAAAAAACATTTTTTAATAAATTTTAATTCTTGAGTCTGAACAACTGCTTCCTGGACTACAATAACTCATACTCAAGGTGACTCATGTTGTGTTTGAGTGGCGTAGCACTGGGCCTGTTGGCTTCAGAGGCTTTGTTGACGACACACATGCCCATCCTGTGAAAAATCCAGGAAAAAAAAGTCACGAGGAAAAAAAGTCACCGAAGAAAGTTGCAGAACCTAGCCTAACGTAACCTGACCTAACCTATTTTATTACTTTAATTGTTGATGGTATTTAAATAAAGTGACTTTTTTCCTTTGACTTTTTTTTTCCTAGCCAAAATTGTGACTTTTTGTAACTTTTTTCCTGGGATTTTATTTCCATTCGCCCCTGCGGCTTCTGCCATCTGGTAAGAGCAAGGAAAATTGCCCATACATTAACATCAGCTGATCAACTATCCTCTTTAAAACCTACAATATTAAGAATACTGTACTGTATTTAATGCTTCTCTAAGAAATGAAACATTAGACCTATTAATGTTTAAAGTATCTTTTCATTCTGTATTTGTAAACAATTGCTGTAACTGCTGTTATAAATCAGCTGCACAGATTTGTATCATTAATATCCTGGTATAGGGTACACTGTATAGGGGCTATGATATCATTTTACTAGATTAGGCATTTAGTTGCAGGCTGTATGTCTCAATATGCAGTTAAAATGCTTTACAAAGAAAAAGTACATTCTATAAACTTTGGCCTGAACCCCTCAAGGTGAACTTCCACTCACCAAGAGGGCTGTAGGGGGAAAAAACTGAATCTGTAACACATCTGGCCCCGAGGATTTTGGATAAAGGATTCTCAACCTTAGCAAGGTTCTACAGGCCTGCCAACTGTTTATGAGGTACTGTACACAAATGCATGTGTCAGATGGCTCAACTTTTCTGCAATGTATTCACCAAAATTTGGGAAGATATATAAATGTAGTTTCTTAGACTACACTAAATCCCCAAATGTATTTTACTTTACTTATTATTCATTGAAACTGTTGATTAACCATATGGTGTGCTTTTCAGTCCATTGAGTTGCACAAGTGTGTTAAGTGGGAAGAAGTTAGGTATGGAGGGTAGAGTTCACAGCAGTGGCCAACCAAGTATATTTAAAGCTTAGACAAGAATAAAGGAAATTTGGCTGATAAAAAGTGAACCTGTTTATTCTAATCCACTTTGTGTAAAGGTAAACCTGTGCATATACCCTAGTGGAAGATCTCCAGTTCAAATATCCCACGCTGAAATTATCTAAAGTTTGAATGTTTGCATATTCACAATTTCTGCCAGAACAAAGTGAGAGTTTCCAGAGATCATTGCTCTGTTTTCTGTATTCTGCTATTGCACCATAGTTCCACTTTCATCATTGTTCTAGAATTTTGAATTTGAGGAAGTTTTGTTCTCTGTTTTTCTTTTATATTTATGTAATTTTTGTGGTTTTGCCTTTAAAAGGCTGTTCAATGAGCATCCACATGGTAGTGCTGAATCTAGTGGTGCTAAGAGAAGGCATGTTGTTCTTACCATTATGTAGAGAGTTTAAGTTCTGCAGAAATTAACAAGCGTGAGTTGGTGTATAACCTGAGGGAGTGTTACGGTGTTGGTAACGTAACTGTACAGATATATTACATCAAGGTTAGTGTATTGTGTTAGTTTTATACATAGAGTAATTCGGATCTGGGTATTACTTGTTTATGGGTGATGTAAGCGGTGTTGCAATGAAGGCTAAGTTAATAACTCCAGATAGTTCCTAAACGCAAATCACTGTATTCATGAAAGGCCTCAGCACTGGAATTGGCGTTAAGTATCACAACATCAGATAGATGGATATATATTCAGGAAAATTGTCATCAGAGTTCAGATTGGTTCAGCTTATGCATCAATAGGATGTGCATACAAACAATGCATTCTATAACTGAGATATTTTTATTAATATCTATTGCAGATAATATAAATTAGTGGTTTTAGAAAAATTGAAAAAGTATTTCATTAAAATTATGTTTTTAAGTAAAAAAATATAAACATCTATAAAATAAGTGGCATGGCAACCAACTCTTGGCACAGGCAGGTACTGAACACTTGCTCAAACTCTTGCTCCCACACACAACCCTTTCTTGTTATCAACAGTTGGACAAATCTCACCCTCTTACCGGCCAATGACACAAGTTTCTCGTTGCATCAACCAAATTCTCAACCACTTTTTGGGTGATGGTACTGGCTGCAATATCCAAAATTAGGTTTGGACTCTGGTTTAATAAAGCTGCAGGATCAAGAACAAGAAGTTTTTTATATACATTTGTTGGCTGTACACAATGTGAGGGTTTGTAGCTATGGCTAATATAAGCCTGTGGGAGGGGGTCTGGGAACTGTCAGGCTCTTAGTGACCACCTGAATCATTGGTTAATAAGAGGGTTAAGAATACAGTGAAGTGCTGCTTTTTACACTCGGGGAACTTAATGTTTTAGAATTTTTATGGTTTTATTTTAGCTCTGGGTTACCAATTAATTGAATAAAGATACAGTGCAGTACTTATGATTATAAATTGCATGGTACAGGTATTTACATTATGATAAAGGGATCAGCCAAGTTCAATGTGCAACAGGAAGCTGCATCCATGATTGATCCATTCATGTAGGATGATGCCTTTTTTTTTGTAGGTAATTAGTTGGCTTTAGAAAAATGACTGGAATGCATTTGAAAATGTACAGTGTAACTTTTTTGTAAGTCTACTTTCAGTAGTTGTCTTATTTGATTATAGTGAACTCATAGAAATCAGTGGCACTGAAGTGTGGTAACACTACTCGTCATGGTCGCAGACTATCACAGTTGACTTGGAATCGTGAGTGTGCTGCATTTTGTTCAGCTGTGAATGCTAGACGTTGACAATGGTGGTGCCTGTAGTGGATTGTAATATACCTGCTGGTATACTGTATGTATTTACATAAACAGTAAAATATTACATACAATTGACATTTGAAAACCGCATTAGATATCAGGCATGGAGCAATAAGTTTCAAATTTTACTAGTTTAGTTAATTTTAATTTTTTCCAGTTAACCTGATTTTTTAACATTAAGTAAGTTATATATTTTTTTATTAAATTAAGTTAACCATTCTGTGTCAAATTTGTTAAGGGGAATTTTCATGTGGATTAAATAACTTAATATCCTGGTAATGTTTTCCAAAAGAGTCAATGAATAATGAGTTAGGCAGTCTGGCACACTACAGTGGGGTATGCTATAACGAACGGATCCTACTACGAATATTCCTATAACGAACGGTTTTACCTATAAAATTGAGAATGCTATAACGAACGAAACTCCTACAACGAACATTATTTATTTATTTATTTATTTTATTTATTTATTTATTTTTACTAATTTATTGTTTTTTATTACAAGTATTAATGATACTCATTATTTCAGGGGTTTAGATGCATATTTATGCACTTTTTTACCATTTTTACAATTTTATATTATATTTTTCAGTGTTAAGTGGTTGTATTTGGGGCCCTGGAACGGATTAATCCTATAACGAACAAGGTTCTAGAACCAATTAGATTCGTTATAGCATACCCCACTGTACTTCTAAAAATTTAGACTTCTGCAAAAATTCTGAAAAATGTTTGATTATAATTTATGAAGGTTTCCAACTCACTCCATTGTCTTATTTTTGGCTGTAACAACATTAGTTTCGTTGTTATTGCTTTTAAGTAAGAGGAAATATGTATCAATACACCCTTTCTAAATTTTGTTCACATTCATGACTCGACCTCTGTACTAGGTTCAGTTAATTTGTACTGATCTCATAATAAATGAGAATCCTGTTGCGCTCATTAGTTGCACGTTGCTGAGTAGAATGGTCTTCACTGCGAGGCTGGGGGTTCATATATACGAGTCCACCGGAAGTGAATGTCACTGCTGGCCGACCACCGATCAGATAGACAGCTAGACTTTGCTGAGAAACTCGCCGCGGGATCGGCTGGTCAGCGACAGTTGTAGGGGAGAGTATCCACAACAACAGAATATGAAATATTTGGACATGAATTTAGAGCCAGTGGAATGATCTGTAGGATAAATTTTTCTTCTTTTGATTAAGCTTGTGTGTACCCTGGGAAGTGAAAAAGAGGAAGAACAAGGATTTTTTTTTCAAACACCTGAATAATAGCAATGAAAGTTTTTTTTTTAAGGGGGTGATAATAATGAGAGATTTAAATACTGTAGTTGATGACAGAAGTGAATAAAGTTTTTGGAGAGCATGTTGTGCCAGGAACAAAATAAATTATAAAATACTGGTGAATATGTGCACGTTTTAAAAAAAGTCAAACTACATACAGGTGGATAGCAGACTACAGTGTATGATGAAAATTTTATCTTGCATTGTACCGTACATTTTATCTTTCATTGACTATTCTTTAATTTTTCTAAATATTTTCTTTTCTCTTTATCTTAGATGAAAACATGGAACCACAAGTCATGGCCTCAGAACTCCACAACGTTAGACTAAAATTAGAGGAGAAACGTCGGAGAATAGAGGCAGAGAAGAGAAAAATGGAACAGGCAATGAATAAACAACGGCAAAAGCTAGGCAAGGAAGCATTCATGCAAGCTGTTGTGAAAGGGGTGAGTGTAACCATGAGTAGTAATGTCTTCTCTATTATAAATGTTCCATTTTTGGGGATTAAACATTTTCAGTATCATACAATGTACTGATTAGTTTGTGCTAGATATTAGCCCAAGGGAAAAATTAATTTTTTTTCCCAGAAACCCGTACAGTACCAAGTTTTAATTAAACCAACTTGTCCAGTATCTTTATTATTCATTACATCAGAATATCTTAGTACTGTAATTGTTTTGTTATTATTTGGAAAACAGATTATAGAAACCTCATATTTATCTTTACAATGTAAATTTGATCTGGATAATTTAGTTTAGTAAAGTAGTTTTATTTTAGTACAATATTCTGAATAAATTCTTAGAAATTTGTAGTTTTTACATGTAGTTCATCATTATACAGTGTAGTATGTTATCTTCTAGTACTGTATTAGATAACTAATCTCATATGTATTGGAAATCTTAGCACGTTTGATTTTTTCTATAGAAAAGATGGTTAGAACAGGGTCATTAGTATACTTTCTGAGCTAAAACCATCAGACTTGTAGACAGTAGTACAGAAACCATCTTATTTCCATATTAGAAGTAGTAGTTTCAGTGGGAATGTTTGAGGTTGGCAAGAACAATTTATTGAAGAAGAATATGTCTGATATTTAGATAAAGAAATTTAAAAATGCTGAAAAAAGGCATATTACCAGAGCCCTGAAGAGACCAATGGGTCACCAAATGCAACAAGTATTGATGACTTCTTGTTGCTAACCACTTTGTGTCATAACAGTACGATAGATCATCAAGTTTTGAATACTGGAAAATACTTAATCCCTTGTACACAGGGACCTCTCTGTACTGAATAAAATATTAAAAGTGGCATCCCCGTAGTGAAGGGGATAAGGAACTGCATTATAGTAGAGATAGCAATTGATAAAGTAAATAATGGATCACTAAGATGTTATAGAAATGAAAAGAAAATATATGTAGAGACAATGTGTGAAAGTAATATGCTGTACAGGTATCCCTCGTTTAGTGCTAATGTCACGCAACGTAAGTTCAGTTTAGCGATAACATAATTTTACACCCTTTATCACTTAATGTTAGGTCAAAATTTGGTTTAGTGATAGCTTGACTCACTGGGAGGTGGAAAAAACTGGGGATTAGGTGGCCTGTGAGATGGCATGCTGCCATTGTTAAATGTAATGAAACTATAAAAGTTGTGGAAAGATCATTACAATACAGTACTGTGGTTTGGAAATAAAGGAAATATACAGTAATATAAAACTATACAATAAGGAAAGTGAAGGGCATGGGAGTGCATGTGTGTGAAGTGAATGTATTTGTGGAGGCAGTTGGCTGTAACTGCATCGCGAGCCCAGCCGTGCTCCCCGACTCCCTCTCCCAATGTGACTTCATGACATACACACAGTGCAGTGCGGCGGCAGCCACACGTATCTGAATCAGCTGGGTGACTGCCCGGCTGAACTGTGTCCCATCACCCAGTGATGTGCTATTGTATTTTATGGTATACTGTGTATCAATTTTATTGTTTATCATAGCAATGTTTGTTAATTTTTGACGTATGCAATTGGAAATTTGTTCGAATTAGGCTCCTGTTTTGCTTACTAAATCGTTTAACTCAGTACCACATTGTTTATATAGAAGTTTGGTATTAATAAATCAATTGTTTAGCTAAGAAACCATTTATAATAAACTTGTTTATTATTATTAGGAAGTACAGTACAGTCAGTTCTGCTATAACGCGATAGTTGTGTTCTTGTAAAACGTCGTGTTATAGAAATTCGCGTAATAGAAATAACAGGGCTTATGGAGAAAATAGGGTTGGGTGCAGATTACTACTTGAAATCAAAAAAATTTTAGTAGTTAGCCTAACACAAAGGATGGCACAGTCTAAATAAATGTTACATTCATATCTAATAATGAAATCATGCAGTAAATGTAACACTTTACCGTGAAAAAATATGAATATAACTTGATGAGGGAGAAGGGTGATTTTGAGGTTGATAACATCGAGCTTCTCTTCAAGTGTTATAGCCTTTCTTTTACGATCATCACCGGGAATGCGATCACCAGAACGCTTCTTGGAGATATTCTTCTTTACCATATTCACAGTTAATAACACAAATTTGGAGAAATAGTAAGCAAAAATCGCGTTACAGCAAACAAGCGTTCGCGTTTTACAAATATTCTTCCTCTATTCATAAATCGCGTTAGAGCCAATTCGCGTTGTCAAAACACACGTTATAGCAGAACTCACTGTACTGTATTCGTACTCCGTGTTTACCACCCCGTCATTTGAACCTGTTGTTTGCCCTCCGTACTTTGGGGTTATCCCTCGTTTAGCAATAGTTTAGCTTAATGTTAGATTATTCAAGAATGCAACCCCATCGTTAAATGAGGGACACCTGTACTGTATACGAAAGATAGCAAGAGTAAAGAAGGTCGGTAGGAGACATCAAAAAGGCCAATACTAAGGTGGAACAGAATGCAGGAGTGTGTGTGTGTGTGTCTGTGTATATACATAAATAGGAATTATCAATGAAAGAATGTGTGATGTAGTATTATGAAGTTTGGTACATGGTGTGTGTGTGTGTGTGTGTGTGTGTGTGTGTGTGTGTGTGTGTGTGTGTGTGTGTGTGTGTGTGTGTGTGTGTGTGTGTGTGTGTGTGTGTGTGTGTGTGTGTGTGTGTGTGTGTGTGTGTGTGTGTGTGTGTGTGTGTGTGTGTGTGTGTGTGTGTGTGTGTGTGTGTGTGTGTGTGTGTGTGTGTGTGTGTGTGTGTGTGTGTGTGTGTGTGTGTGTGTGTGTGTGTGTGTGTGTGTGTGTGTGTGTGTGTGTGTGTGTGTGTGTGTGTGTGTGTGTGTGTGTGTGTGTGTGTGTGTGTGTGTGTGTGTGTGTGTGTGTGTGTGTGTGTGTGTGTGTGTGTGTGTGTGTGTGTGTGTGTGTGTGTGTGTGTGTGTGTGTGTGTGTGTGTGTGTGTGTGTGTGTGTGTGTGTGTGTGTGTGTGTGTGTGTGTGTGTGTGTGTGTGTGTGTGTGTGTGTGTGTGTGTGTGTGTGTGTGTGTGTGTGTGTGTGTGTGTGTGTGTGTGTGTGTGTGTGTGTGTGTGTGTGTGTGTGTGTGTGTGTGTGTGTGTGTGTGTGTGTGTGTGTGTGTGTGTGTGTGTGTGTGTGTGTGTGTGTGTGTGTGTGTGTGTGTGTGTGTGTGTGTGTGTGTGTGTGTGTGTGTGTGTGTGTGTGTGTGTGTGTGTGTGTGTGTGTGTGTGTGTGTGTGTGTGTGTGTGTGTGTGTGTGTGTGTGTGTGTGTGTGTGGATTGAAACTGTTTGTCTATTTTTTAAGGCTAATTATATCCAGTGAAACCATTACTAGCTCTAACACAACTTTCAGTTGTAGGTATTGTCTTTTATCTGCCTTGTAGATAAAATGTATGATGGTTGGTCACATTACTTTGTGTTGAAAAGAAATACTGTATGAATATTTGAGTAACCACTTAAAACACTCCCCACCACCCTAAAGTCTGTATGATTGGCAGGAACTAGATGAATGATGTACCGTATCTTCACTTATGCTTTTCTCTGGCAACATTAATACAGTAGAACGTCGATTTAAAGTGATTCAATTTAAGATTATTGATTTAAAGCGACACCCACAATTAAGGACAATGTTTTAATTTAAAGCGAATCATTCCTATTTTGCTCGAGTCAATCTGGTGCATCATATTTAAAATTTTGTGCCTAATGTTTCTCTGGGCATGCTACACTGTCCTAAGGGCAAAGCTGTACTGTACATGTACTCAAAATAATGTACTAAATGATTACTACAAATTTTTACAAATGCAAACTATAGTATGTTTATATTCAAATTAATCACTATCTTATAAGAATTCCAGCAATGTAAATTATAGTCTCCCCAGTCACTTCTATTACTTTTTATAAGCAAAAAACATTAACTCAAGCTAAAGGACATAAATAAACACATAAATACTTCACTAGACCTTCGGTGCCAACTGTCAAACATGTCACTTCCCTCCCTCCCTCCCCCTATTTTCCCTCCATCCCTCCCCCCTATCTTCCCAGCCAGGGTTTGGTGTCTTAGGCTTAAAGTTTTTATCTTATATAATGTCACAGACAAAATTTAGGAGAATATAATTTGTATTGCTGGAATCCTTGCAAGACAGTGAATAATTTGAATATAAACGTCATATATTTTGCACAAGAGATAAAAATTTTTGCTCTTTGTACTAAAATTCTTAAACTAGAACTAAAATTTGTATGTCTAATGCGAGCTATAGCATGTTTATATTCAAATTAATCACTATTTTATAAGAATTCCAGCAATGTTAATTATATTCTTCCATGTCAGTTTCGTGACATTTTATTAGAGAAAAACTTAGATAAATAAGCACTAGATATTGGCATCAACTGTCAAGCATATCACCTGAATTCTCTCCTCCCCATCTTCCCAGCCAGTAAACAGACCATTTCGCATCCCTTAATTTTAGCCGTGTTGATATATTGAGTGTTTGTTTTAACATAATACTACAAAAAACAATGTTTGTTTATTCTAAGAGATGGGCTGAGGTGCATCTCAGTCTTTTTAGTGTTATGTGTTTCTCTCAAGTACCAAACTAAATTATTCCATTGAAACAACACTTCGATTTAGTGCGAATTCGGTTTAAAGTGACCTCTCTTGGAACGTATCTCTCGTATCTCATGTTATCTCATGTTATATCGGACGTTCTACCTACTGTACAGTATACAGTATTGAACGGAGCCATCCGTATATTTTCATATTTAGGCTCATTGTTTCCATTTTAACTCATTTATTTGGCAATGGAGTCATAGTACAGAAACAATTATTCATGGATTATAAAAAAACACAGCAGCAGCAATAAGCTGAAAATGCATGAAAGATGTAAATGGTACACTACTTTGATACCTGTACACATATATAGTGACATGAGGGAGGGTCATTTAACAAGGAATTTTACTGCTTTATGACCAGTTTCCATGCATGTTTGGGCTAGCTGTAATTACTGTACCTGATGGCAGCTCCTAAAGAAGCATGGTCTCATATGGCCTATCTCATAAATTTCAAATTTATGTGGCCATTACTCACAACCTTGGTCAACCCAAAAATCTCCCCTCCACATTCAAATTCATGCATCTCTGACCCCATTTGTCCCCTCCATTCCCTTCAGATGGTCAAACCATTGCAGCCTACTTATACACAAAACCTCACCAATATTCCCAATACACTGCAGCCCACTTTGCTCTGAGCAGGGTTTCCTACCTCTCAACATCACATTACACATGTATCTTACCATTGTCTTATCAGCTTGTTCAGGTCTACATACATTGTCTCTTTAACCCACAATGTGGACTCACTCAACGTTTATTGATTGATATGGTCAAAACCTGGAGAAGTGAGACACTCGTTAACTACTGATTACATTCCATTACATGTATACATTATACATCAGTTAGTAAATACACTATTCTGTATGGTTATTATCCAAATTGCCTTACACTATGCACGTATGTAGTTCACAACATTACACCATAATATAAACATTCACTGTGTTGTTTCACTCACCTGTGCTGGCTTATAGCTCCACTTAACTCCTCGTATTGTTCCAAGTAACTCCTAGTTATAGCTAGTGTGTGTACACTTGATGGGGTTGGACGATACTGTGTGCCAGAGGCATCCCGAGCCCCTATCTATGGTCATAACAATGAAATGCTTGTTCTATGGCTGTGCTGTTTACAAACATCTGGCAAGGTCACAGGTCACGCGGCCACATCGGAGTCAGAGGTCGTGGCGTACGAGGGCGGCGATAACAATACTGTAAGAACACATTTCTCATGCTGGCTGCAGAGAGAAAGTTCTTTCTTTCTCTCACAGTTAAGACAACAGCTACCTAAACTACTTCTAGCCACTTACGACTTTGCAGCTGTCAAACATATTTTCATAAAGACTTCTCATGGGAATATACCAAAATAGGTAAAGTGTAGAACATCAAGTTATAGTCTCCATGACACAGTAAGGTTAATGGTTAAAATCCTCAGAGAAAAGGGACAAGTGATATGCGAGTTGTGCAAGATAGATGCAAAAATTTACAGAAAAGTGTTGAAGCAAGTAGAAATACCCCAGCACAATCTTCCTCTTACCCTTAACTTGCACAAAGAAATATTACAGTAGACAGACCACAACAAACATCATCGACCTGTCATGTTGGGGATCATCAGGGTTTGGTTCATGTTTTTGTACTCCCACCTTTGCATATAGAAGACAAAGGATGTTGCATATTCATGATGTATTTTAGTCGTTTGTGAATTGCCATGGCATCATTGATTCAATTTTACCCGACTACTAAAAAAATAATTTTTTAGTTTGCCAAAAGTAATGCGATCATTACACAATAGACAAAAATTCAAATTTGTACTGAGGTAGAAGAGACAATACCTACTTACTATATGTGCTAGGAAGGAGATGGTTTCTTGTTTATTTTGTCCTCCTCCTCTAGCTTCCTTTACTATTATTTTCCATATTTGTTTTCCTCAAATTTTTTCTGCCTTTTTTATTTGTTTATTTTCCTTATTATTTCTTTTTTGTTTCATGTTTATATTCTTTTACTTTTTCGTCTTCAGAGATTCACATATCCTTATGCCTTAAGTTGTTGGCTGTTATTAAATATTGGTTTTGTATTTACTAATTTGGGTTACTAGCAACAAACCAATTTATACGTTCATTATTTAACCAAAACATTTATTATTTTTTTTTACATACCATAATACCTCTCTTAACCAATAGTTTTAAAATTTAAAAGAAAAAAAATAACCCATAGAATTCCTGCCCATTATGTTTGATGTTCATGTGAAGAAGGTAAATGGGCAAGGAAGTACATACACAATAGCACCTAACTCCACCTCTCCCGTCAATATACCGGTGTAACCCCCCATAGGGAAAGGGGTCCTCTACGGGATCCTCAACCCCCACCACGTCAGAGCCAGATGCTTTGGACACAATGGTAGATTCAGTGGAACAATCCTTGCCAAAGCATCCCTCCTCTCTTACCACCACTGCTACTCCATCTAATCCAGACTTATCGCTGAAGGTAACCGTAAGTGTAGCTGCATGCCTGGAGTATGGCGCATGTCTTGTCTGTTGCTTCTACTATTCACACTTTATCCACTTCTTGTAACAGTACAAACTTTTATTCTTCTAGATTTGGTTTTGTGCATCATACAGTACTGTACTGTATGTAAGAGTAGTGTGTACTGTATTATGACATCCCATTAGATATAGTTTCACTGTTATATTATGTTAATGTTTTGATGTATTTCATGTTGTGTACATAACTTGAGAATTTGGAAACTAAACTTGTGAGATGTAGTCTTAATTCCAGTTGCAAGGTTATGTGATATAGGTATAAATTCCTCTGGTGTGACAAATATAATGTATGTTTTGAGTTCTTTCACAATATTTGGTTAATACAGAATTGGATGCTTTACAGTATTTTAACATTACTCTTTTATGTTTTAGAAGTGTATGGTAATTTCAACTTTTGCATGAGACTATAGGCACCAAAATTGTAATTATGCTCACTTTGATGCCAATTGAGTTGGTTTTACCCATATCTACCACGTTATTTCAGCACTTCCAAAATTTGAAAAGGCACTATTTATCAAGATTACTGATGGAAATTGTAGATGCATTATTGTTCTATGTTTATTTCAAAATTGTGCGAGTTAAGGTTGAAATACAGTACATTGTTATGTTTATGAAGGCTTAGTCAACCAGAACCTTGATTACTATATTAAAAAAAAATTGCATACCAGACTGACCCTGCAAAAGCTGAAAATTTTTACATACAATACTGTACTAATTGAAAGAACAGAGTAGGTGAAAATGAAAAAAGAAATTAAAGCATAAAATAATTATTTCTACAATTAGTCTTTTCCCTGTTAGTACTCGGATTTCATTTTTGTGTGTGAAAGTCCACCTTTTGAGAACCTTATTGACTGTGTGCTTCAAGATCTTGACAGTATCTTCATGAGAAGGGCATGACAACAAGTACAGAAGTGGGGTACAACACAGTGCTTGTGATGAGGGTGTCTTATTGCAAGTGGCATCATGGCCAGCCATTGGACAACAGTAGCCATTGCTACCATGTATGCCATGAAATTTCAAGTTTGCATTATACAGTACATTGTACTTGCAGTATCCTCTGCCTCAGTTATCAAGGTTTTTGTTGATAGGTCTTTGACATTGATAACAATAATTATTTAAAATTTAACATTGTCATTGTATTCACTACAGGATATAGGGTCTGATGTGAACAGTTTGTCCAGACGATGGTTGGAGGGGGAACAGCAGACGGAAGAGTTGCGCACCCCGGACCTTGACACCATGGACTACGACCAATACCACCAGTCTCTGACACAGTAGGTTACAGGTCTAGTGAGAAAGGAGGGAATGAATTCAGAATATTTTTATGGTAGGAAGATGGTGCAGCACCTCAGGAAAATTTGTGAACTTAGTCTTTTGGAATACAAAACAATATCTAGGACCTTGAGTTATTTTGAATGGAATTCCTGTTGGTAAGGGTAAAAGTGTAACATCTAGTCAAAGTCTTAAGTAGAATTGTAAAAAATTATTCTTAAAAAATAACAGTGCAGAAAGTGTCAAATATATATGTACTTGTAGATGAAAATCATAAAACTTAGAGGTTACAATAGATCAGTGCTTTTTCTATTTTGTAGTTTGCGTGTAGAATTCCCTTACAAAATTGTCGGTCATGTAGAGACACTTGCTGCCTTAGCTTTAGTTAGCAGTAATGACATCGTAACCTTTTAGGATTAATTCAGTGGCTTTTTTCTCACTTTTCATTGAAAAAATAAATTTTTCAGAACTATGTAGATATTCCATATGATTTTGGTGGATTAGATACAGTATACGTAATACATAAAGCAGTACAGTACATTCCATAGATGTAAGAGAAGAGCATGTAAAGTGAACTTGCTTTTCATGAGCTACGTTAGTGTTACATTGGCTTACTAGAATACAAGACTTCTCACAGTAGGAGTAATATAGTATTTTATAGGACATAATAACTGGATATATTATCCTGGTGGCTGTACTCATTTCCCTAACTTATACTACATGCACTAGTTGGAATTAACGTATGCATAGATGTGTATTTATGTATATTATATGCATGTAGTATACATACATATACAACTTTGCATGCAGAAATATATATGCACAGTTTTATTATTCTGTATTTTAGGTTTTGAAACAGTTTATTGAAATTTATTTACGGTATTTGTTTATTTCTTATAGAAAATATAATTGACATTGAGAATGAGTCGCTAGTTCATATGCAGTTATTAAATGCCGCTAGATTACTTTTGCCAGCCATAGTCAAGATTTTTGCATTAGCATTGCTTATTTTGCCTGGCATTCGGTGGCTACAACCTCAATTTATGCATTACTAGCTTATATGATTTTGAATATGAGAAATTTTGTATGCAAGGGATCGTACACCCTTGAGTAAGTCGGTAGACATCAAGTAGTTTATATTTTAGTTCAATATCAGATACAAGGATCTTTCATTAACTACCAGAGAAAACCAAAAGTATTAATATAATTATAATGTGCTAATAATTTTCTTTAACATTTATTTAATGCTAGATACTTACTTTTTAATTGAGATTACCAACTAGATACTTACCATTGATTGGCTTTTGTTATAGAAGAAGGACATTGTAACAAGAGGTGATGGCAAGGTGCACAGCTCTACTACATATTGCACAATAAATTGGTTGTCATAAGAATATAGCATGTCAGGGGGGCGTACTGCATAACTGTTTGGTCATGTAAGGATACAGCACGTCAAGTTACATATTGCAAATTCCGAGATGGAAGTACAGTACTGCTCACAGTACTGATGAGTCATTTGTGAAACCATGCCAACACCCGCTCATCTCACTGTAGAGAACACGTCAACAACACAAGGCGGGGGTGTCTTGTATTCCAAAACAGCAGTTACGCATGAAGGTTTCTTCTCTTGTGTATCAGTGTCAGGGAGGCCCAGGACTCGTATTTCATTTATAGTAGATGAAAAATGACCCATGGCACAGCCTTCCATAGTCACAAGAGCTGGAATCTTCATGTGTAATGGAGTGAGCTATTTACCACACAGCCCCTATTAATAAGGTCAGGTAACCAGGTCAAGTTGCCAGGCTCAGTGACCTGGTGTGAGGTAGCCAGGTCACGTTACCAGTAACGAAGTCAGGTAGCCAGGCTCTTGAACGGGCCATCACACAGGTAAATGACTGGTACTTATCTGTAGCAATGAGAATGTCTTATGTCTCTCTTGCTGTATAATGCTTAAATTGTTATCTAATGGGGGATGTTTAAGGAACTGATTGTAGCTTTAAGGTTCTTTTTTTCATGTTTGCATGTATTTAGTTGATATTTCATGCCTTCATCATTACTGTCATAAAGATTTTGGATATTTCATTAATATTGCCTAAAGCTTCATGAACTGAAGTGTAATAGGCAAGTGTTGTGTCTGCCTCTATGCACCTATACATACTGTATATTATGGAGTCTCACGTGAGGTTTGCCCTTATTTTGTATTGTGCAAATCAGTTTCTGTTACCGGTAGGTGTAAACTGAATATTAAAGCCAAAAGCAGTTCCTTAAAGAGAAGACTTGGACATTCTATTAATTGGTTGAAATGCTTTACCTACTAATGAGTTTACATGTGGAGGAAAATTTTTTGAGGAGTTGCTGTTTTTAACCAAAGCTATATTGTCAATAGCATTACTTAAAGTTTGTCTAAATATTATTGATTAAAATTAGAATGAAATATGATGTTACCCTGGCATTGTCTATTACTATCAGCTCATAGCTTGAGATTCCATTAGTAGAAACAGTATATGCATAATGTCACTCATTTTGGTTGTTCAGTGCTGGCCATTCTTGTTGTGGCTCTAGGCTGAGGAATCTCTGTCTTTTTGATATTATGCATTATGCTATGAAATGGCATATTTCTCCCATTTAATTAGCCATTGAATTAACAGCATCTGTCTTTCTAGTTAAACTATTCAATGAGATCCACAACTTCAGTTGTGGAAATCTTCATATTCTTCTATGCTAACACTCATCATTATCATGTACTCTCATTTATTGGAGGGCGTCATACACTTGACAATGATAATTGTCATTCTCTTACACGTTCACTCACTTGAGGTGCTCTCACATTCTACTCCATTTTCACTCATCATACTGATGGTCTTATCATGTTGTCTTGCCCAATATGGTGATGAAAGCAGTACTTTACCTCCGGAATTTTACTACAGTATGAGAAAATAATGTAAAAGACTTTGTCAGCTTTTTCAGCTTTGAGCCAGGTTTTTTATGAGAACAATACTTTCTAAATATGACCATCCTCTCCATTAGTTGCTCCTTGATGTGGAAATTATTTTTATCTGTATTTTTGAGTATCTTAGCAAGGTTCATAAAACAGTAATTCCTTCGAAATAAGTTGAATGTTTTTTGGTGAATGGTTGTCTGCACGTTTGGCCTTTATTATTAAAATTAATTTTAAATTACTTTTGAATACTAAAAGTTTCATTTCTGCTTCTGTTGGCCTTGTGCTTTACTTTGCCTTTTGCTTTTGCATGCTAATTTTGTCTTAGTCAAGCTTTGACTATTACATCACACTACAGATTTTATTTGGAAAAAATTCTGCCTTTTTGTTAAGTTTGTAATTCATAATTATTTAACATATTGCCATTTTTTATTCAAGTGAGTCATGCATGTCTTTTAAAAGGAAAGAAACTGCTTTAAGTCTTCATAATTTTTTTAAGAAAGTAGTTGTAAAAAAAGAACTTTTCCTACTGTACTTTTTCTATACCAAGATGAATGCAGAGTTAAGTATTCTGAAACTTCATTGGTGGCCCTAGGCTCCTCACAGTTGTTTGTTGAGTGAGACTGGCATGTTTGCTGTAGTGTGTGGTGCATGTGGTGGTGTGTTCTTGCAGTGGGGAGAGTGGTTTGGAGGGCTCTCGACGCTCTTCCTTGGACCACCCTTATGCTGTACAGTTGCGGCGGAGATCCTACGTAGGCCGAGATCCTAGAGAGCGAGCCTCCCGAGATCCAAGAGTGGACCCACGTCGAATGAGCCTGTACCTGGAGCCTGGCACCTGGCGTTCTGCTAACGATCCTGGAACACTACCTCTGACACCCCCGCGTCGCGTCTCCATGGGCCCAGACTCTTTTACACCACCTTACAGGATGACCGACTCCCTTACCGAGATCCAGAGCGACATCCAGCGCCTGTCACACCAGCAGCAGCAGATTCAAAGCCTTATGCACAACGGAATGAATCCACCAACCAACCAGGCTATGCAACAACAGCCACCTCATGGGCAATTTTATCTCCATGACCAGGTTGGTCCCCCTCCCTTTTTTCTTTATTAAAAACATCCTAAAATATTTTTGTGACATCCCCACACATTGTTTATCCATTTCTTGTTTTCAACCACCTTTTGCAGTTTCTCACTATTCTGTACAGTAAGACCTCTTTAAGTTGGACTATAAGGGGCTCAAGGCTGTCCAGCTTGTATGTAATCTCCCTCACTAGGTGCTCTCAACCATCATTTTGCTGAAAATCCCTTCCCAAAACAATTTTAAAGTTAACAGTATACATTTGCACTGCACTTACTTTTATTGTAGCAGGTGAATCTTGAGATGTACAGTAGGTTAATGGGGGGCTGCTTACACGTATAATACAGGGATGCGTCGTTTAGCGATCGGGATGTATTCCTGAAAAATAGATAGCGAAGTGATTTGATAACTTAGTGACCAGAAACGTGAAATAATATCTTAAACAAGGGTTAACAAGGAATAATATCTGTGGAGATGGCGCGTAATTGTGTAGCCGAGTCGCCGGCTGACCGATTCACCACCCACTAGCACTCACAGCGGGTGAGGCTGAGCTGTGAGCTATGTTATTGTTCAACTCCTAATATTGGGTAGACATACATAATTTTTCTTCATTTTCTTGTACTCTGTTATATGCACACACGTTCATTCATATAGAATGTGTAAAAAAAAAATATATATATAAAAAAAATAGAATACAGTAAAGAGTTCTTACCTGGTCTGCAGTTAGGCGACAAGAGCAGAGTGGAGGGAGGAGGAATCACTTTAATATACAATACCAAAAGGTAATGAACAATCGGTACAGTACTCATTAACACTCCAAAGTCACAACAGTAACGGAGATGCACAGTGATTGATAATATACATAGCAATATAGTGAAGCACAGATTGTAATGTTCAAAGGCAGAGTAAACACTAGTATGATAGGGACATACAAGGGTTTTGTATTAAAAGAAAAAAGTTTGAACATGATTTTCACTGCATCATTCATCAAGAGCAGGGGTCACCAAACTTTTTTCACAGTGGGCCGGATAACTGAAAGAATGACGAGCGCGGGCCGCATAATATTTAAATTTAAATTGTATCACAACGTCTCGTGTTCCATACGTTTTATCAAGCAAATTCAAGTACCGTCGGCGGGCCTGATGAACTGACGTCGCGGGCCGTAGTTTGGTGACCCCTCATCAAGAGGAACTGTGTGCCCAGCCTTTTCCACCAAAGTTTATACAAGTGATGACCTACTGTACTTGTAAAAATTGTCAACAAAATAATAGCAAAATGCTTAAACCACCTTCAATTTTGCAAACTTCTGGCAGAGGTTGATTGCCAGTATTCAGACCCTGTCCTTCACAACAGAGTCCAATGGCTTTCTAGGGGATGGCAAAACAGTTTACTGTAATAATCTGGAAAAGTTATTAAATTCCTGAAAATGACACACTGAAAGTAGCCTCATACAAAAATTTGCATGAACAAATGAATATTCTAAGTTATTGTTTGCCTTTAAATTGGAAACATTTATTTTGTGTTTAGACTTGGACATACAGGGGTATAGCTAAGTACAGTAACAAGCTGGAAGAAACAGGATTAATATCAGCAAGTCAGTTTACAGTACCAGACAAGTTAGAAGTACACATTCATTCACTTATGTTTACAATATAAGTTGTTTTTACTTTGCAGCAGGGCAGCCCAGTGCGACGTATGTGGGGCCAGCAGTCGGGCAGTGATGGTTATTCGTCCATGTCACCAGCCACCAGACGTGCCCAGTGGGGGCCAGCCAGGTACTACCACCTCTCTTCTTAGTGTTGATTTTTGCCTTATTCAGATAATGATATTAAACCAAGTCTGCTCTGCACTTTCTTGTACCTTACTTCAGACAGGCAGTAAGTTGATATTATGTTGTTTAGAACCAGCAGAGGATAAACTCATTTATTCACTTGTTCATTTAAAATTATTTGAAAGAGAAACCAGTTCTTGATATACCGTACTGTACTGTGCTGTACTGTACTGTACTGTACTGTATTGTATTGTATTGTATACTGTGCTGTATTTTGAGACTGTTCTCTGCGGTTTTTGTCATTACTTAATTCCCTTCTTAATTTAGCTTTGCATTTTTGTTCAGAATTTACAGAGTAACTGTGAAGCTTCTGTTTATAGAGCTTTGTGTTTTGTGTCATGTATGTGTGAATTACGTACCGTGCATGGGCCAGTCTTCTGTTGGATGCAGAGTACATCACATTACTGTTTGGTCACATGAGAAACTGTCTTTGACCTCATGAGATTAATGTTACCCAATGAAGTCCCTGTACCAGAAATACCCAATATGCTAAATAGGGGTTCTCTAGCTTTTGCTCTTTGTTATTTGCATTGATTTTCAGTAAAACATTCATTTTGCTCTGTTATACAGTTGTTGCATGTCTTATTTGTCATTTTACTTGTTATGTAATGCTCTAAATGATTTCCACAAGTACAGGTACTGTATACAGTGGTCCCTCGGTTAACGAATACAATGCGTTCCAGAAGGTCGTTCATTAACCGAATCCATTGCTTCAATGGGGTATTGGGTAATTGGTTCCAGCTCACCAAAAAGTATACAAAGTAAAAAAAAAAAATGCAGTAACGTACACATACTTTGAGGTGTGTATGTAGAAGGTTCCTGGTTGATGATGATGATGGGAATTAGAAGTGGGGT